ACATGCTTATTCAATCATTAAATGCATATTTATTAAATAAATATAATCACGGAATCACCGAACCATTAGTATGTATAGGAGTGAATATTTACACATGTTTACTGAATATCTAATTGGAGCCATATATCACACCAAATTCCTTCCCCACATGTACACCTCAAGAAATCACATAGGCCGCTAAAATCACCATCAAACAACAACGGTCCAGTTTTTTTTCTTTGAATTGAATTGTCCACATGGACTAGACATGGCCACGGGGCAACCGGCCCGCCGACCCGGCACGGACCCGGCCCGGTCAAACCCGTTGACCACGGGTCCGGGCCCGGCTCAGATTTTCAACCGGGCCGGGTCCGGTTCAGCACGAGAAATTGTTTTTTAATTTTTCTATTTTTTTTCTTTTTTTTTTCTGGATCAGACCCAAGTCGGGCCTGGCCCGCCGGGTCATAGGCCCGGCACGGATTTAAGGCGTGCCGGTTCAGGGTCGACAAAACCCAACCCTTCGGCCCGCCGGGCCGGGCCCTGAACCGGCCCTATGGCCATGTCTAACATGGATTGAGAAATATTATCAGGATAAAGATTAAAGTAGGGTACCCGTTTGAATATTTCGATCAATTGAGTACTTTGGACCTCACCTCAACATCAAACGTGTCAGAAATGCTGACATGGAGTTGCAAGAACCGTGCATGAACCTGAAATTAAGTATGGTAGTACTGTTGATTTCAAATTGGACTATGAAGTTTCAATGTTTTTCACCCTAACACTAAAACAATCTTCCAATACGTCACTGAAAAGTTTGTTGGTCGTATATAAGTGAATTTTGAGTTTTACAGTATGTTTGATGGTTGAATAACTAGTTTACATGTATGAGAAGCTTATGAGATAAAAATTCAACTAAATCAAGCTTAATTGAATACAAGAAACGTATAAGCTAACAATATAAAGTATAAACTAGTTTATGGTGCTTAACAAACACACTCTAAAGTGGTGTAAGAAACGATGCAATTACTTTTTTTTATGATTATAGTATTTATATATATTACATTTGTGAAACTAGTTTGTAGGATAAAATATGTTCCAAGTATAGTTTCATTCGATGAGTGATATTCCTCGTGAAATATTTTTCACTGAACTCGTTACTCTATCGTCTTCCAAATCTGTACTCTTGAACTTGGAAAAATATATTATATTTCAGTTTATTGCGGTTAGTGAAAATACTAGGACTAATTATATCTACCCATCAAATAATGTCGTTTGGGAAGTTTGAAAATTATATAAATAATTTAAATTCCACGTATGCCCTTTTCATTACTTAAAAATGGTCAATTCATTAATTCAGTTTTGAGGTTAGTTTAGTCTTTGACCCATTGAAATAATGTTGGGATAATAATCATACCCTACTCTTTGTACAAAANGCTCACAAGCTAACATTTACCAACGAACTTTATCCATCTCTACAAACACAAAAATAAGAGCGATTCAAAAATCTTATTAACCTTTATTCAATTCAGCAAACTTGGCGTATAAAAAACTCCTGAAATTGTTGAACACATAAAATCTCTTCCTATAAAATCCACATTGCTATGTGTCTAATTTGCCCGTGACACTATTTTGAAAACCCACTCCAATTAAGTGGTCAACTTGTGCAGGTTGACCTTAAAAAAATCCATGAAAAAAGAGAAGAAGTCTACGCCCGACAGGTCCACGTGATTAAAATGAGATATCCATCTACTATATACACAATAAGTGACATTCAATATATTAATTATGCATTTAACAAGTTGGGGCATATATAATATAGTTTTATTGAGTGCTAGCTGAGGCAGAAGCCAGTATTAATGATGCCCATTTATGTAGGCCACGAGCGAGAGAATGAATCAAGAAAAAGCAATATATATCAAATAATTTATGGGGTGTTCAAAAATATTTTTTGTGGTGGAAAAAGGATTCAGAGTATTGAGATGGATTTTTGTGAGGCCAATGAACAAAAATAATATATATATTTTAATTAAATATTATATTATATGATAAAAAGACATAAAGTCGTACTTTTAGAAGAATTTCTGATAAAAACTATAAAGATGGCCTAATAGTGAGCC